TTTTTTTTTTCCTGTAGGCCTCTATCTTTGTTCTATGTCCTCAAGGAGCTCTTAGTCAAAGTTCTTCACCTTTATATGATACTCTATCCAAATCTTTATTTTGTTTCAGCAGTAGTGGCCCTGGATTGCTGGCAATGTGTGCATCATACTGCTAATGGTTTACAGTCAGTGGTGTGTTTCTTACTACAAGATTATCCATTCACCAGACAGCTTAGGAGAAAGTACTTGCATGAAACTAAAGGAGTTTTTGTTGGACATCTTTTAGAAATGCCCGAGATACATGAGGATCAGCTGTGTAAATACTCATTATTAGGCTGTACTTGGTTATTCTGAGTCACAGCGCTCTCTTGTGCTTGTTTCTAAACTAACTGGTCCTGCACTGCCTCTGTGGTTTTGTAGTTCTAGCTGCACTTCTGGAATCCCAAACATCAGTGCCATCCTGTCCCTTTATTCTCATTTGAGTTCAACAAATGAAGTTATGGCGACAAGGTTTCTGTGAACCTGGATTCTTAGGAGGGAGTTCTCTGCACAGTAAATATTCGTCACTGGAAGGGTATGTCTCACCACTGCAAATTAGTAAGTTGACATTCTATACATTAGTATCTTGTGAGTTTGGTTCCTGTGATTCAGAAGCAGGGGCTCATTGCAGAGGCTGAAGCAAGGCTGAGGCTGCACAATTTCACGTTCTCTGAAGACCTTGTTGAATAGCCATCCTCCAGCTACAGCATCCCTAGCACGTCTGTAACGTCAAAATGTTCATCAACAGCAGACAGATCACTGAAGCCCGTCCGTGGGCCACCGGCACTGTTTAGGAGCCTTCGCACCCTAGTTGATGTGAATCATGCCAAGACTGAGACAAGAAAGAAGTGTTATGACTGAAATATAGTACAGCATAGTGGTAAAACTGTGAGCTTCAAAGAGCTACTGCCTGGCTCCAGTGTCCCCTTCTCCATGTTCCTGCTGCGTGACCTAAGTCTCAGCTTCCCTTTTACAGTAAGAGAACTTAACTCATTGGGATATTGTGAGGAATAACACACACAAAAACCCTTAACACAAGAACCATTCAGTAAACATTGACTGTTATTTCCAAACTCAGCCCT